CCTGGTGGCACAGGGGTTAAAATCTCAGCGCTATCAAGCTATTGCATCATGAGTTCCATCCCCGGCACATGCAGTAGACCTCTCCTGTTTTGACCGCTGCTCCCCTCAGCAGTGTATTTCAGTCAGTGTGCCTGTTCTGCGCTCCACTCTGTCTCTGGTGACTCCTCTAAACCCCCATCCCCACCCCGCCACACTTCTGGCCTACACCCCAGCTCTTGATGCATAAATAAAAATAAATCTTAAAAAAAGAAAACTGAAAAAACAAACAAAAAACAAAACAAAAACCCACAACCCAACAAGACACTTTCTACAAATCCCAAAGAATCAATCAAAGTTTGGAAGACTGCAAGAAAAAACATGGACAGTTTTAGGTTTTCTGCTTTGTCACTAAGCTTGCTGGTTTGCCCCTCTGTTAATATGGAGTAGATTGGAACAAAGAAGACCACAGCCAGGTGGACAGGGAGCTAAGCTCTCCTCCACAAGCTCCCAGTATCCAAAAGTTTAGCAGATGGTCCTCAAAACACATCCACAATGTAAACAACATGGAGGGCCACAGTCCCACAGGTACCCTGAAAGAACAGGACACTGGCCTCCACAGCAGAGGAATCAGAGGAATGCAGTTCCCTGCTGAGAGTCAGTTACCTAAAGGACTCTAAATACTGAGAACAACTTGGTAGTAAGCTCCTCCTCAGCGGGTTTTCTGAAGTCACCACACATCTCCACAGAACAATCTAGACTTAGTCATATATATGCACTAATCCAGTTAGTTCAACTAAGAACAGAATATGCTCCCAACCCCTGGGAGCTAAAGCGCAGAGTAGAACTTTGAATAAATTGAGATTTAAAGTGTTAAGATACAGTTTGAAATTGAATAAGATTGAGTCTTAAAGAATAAAATAAGACTGAATATACAAGATATACAGGTTTTGTGTCTATCATTTCTTGCTTCAAATTTGGGTTTTTGATTCAGAACATTAATGACTTATGAATTGGTTTTGTTTCTGATCAATAAGGGAATCCTGAAGCCATTACTGTGACACTATCCTAAGATACTGGAATTTCTTCATAATCTATCTGTGCATTTCAAAAGCTAATCAGTATTTCACTTTAAGGGCTTTGATGTTGCCAGCAGCTTCTCTTACATAGGAATGTCTAGATTTGCACAGTTATGCTTTTAGAAGTTAAAATGTCCTAACCTTGAACGTTGATTCAGCTTGCTACATCAAGGGTTTACTATTTGCTTTAATTGACTTTATAGTAATTACTCTGCTATTTGTCTTATTGGAAATAAAGTATCAACTAGTTTCCTCTGCACAATTTGAAATTCACTGCTTTCCCTATTTATATTATTAATGTAGATGGATAGACATGAGTTAATTATACAGAGCTTAGCTAGTAGTAAATGAAAAATAGAACCGAAATAGTTCTGTATCCCTAGCTTGCAACAACCTACCAAGCAGACAAACTGCTAGCAAATTAACATAATAATTACTTATTTCCAAGATATTTAAGCACACAAGAAAGTGGAGGGTGGATTGGCTGCATTTTTTCCCTTAACAAAAAGCATCTTCAATATACGTGATTTAAAAGAAGTAAGATACTGGGGTCAGAATGGGGGGATTGCAATTGTATGGGGAATATAAAAATAAAATTTATTAATTAAAAAAAATAAATCTGGGGTATATGATTACAAAAAAAAAAAAAAGAAAAAAAAAGATACTGGTTTCCTAGAAAACTACTTTGACCTGTGTTGATTCTTATTCTGAATGTTTGTCACATAATGTACAGTATATTTTCAGAAAGCATTTTTGGTTCAATGTGTAGTTTCTATAATGCAGTGCTCTGGTGTTCCCATAGCCCTCTCCTTCCCCAGCAGATGTACAGACTTCTGTTTCAATGCTAAATCTACAATCTAATATGAGTGCACTGCATGGGCTTTTCAAGGACCAAAGGACCAATGAAGCATTCAGACTTAATATTTGAAAAGGAAGACTCAGCATTTTGTATTTTCTTCCAGGTATTGAATTCATAAATTTAATAAACTATACCATGCTGTTACATGTTTTCAAGTACATGCTGTACAGTAAGTATTAGAAAGTTTTTTTTTAATAGTAGTCTATAAAACAACAGATGTAGAAAGGTTAAACTACAATTCTGCATCTGAACGTACATTCACAAATTTGTCATTGCAGGCTTTTAAAAAATCATTATTAAATAATAGCCACTTTTAGGCTTTGACGATCATACAGACCAGAGTAATTAATATTTGTTTGGCTAACTATTCACTGTCAAACTTCATTGGAATGCTTTAATTAAGTTCATTCTCAGCTTTATTTTCAGATACTTAATTCAGATACTAACTTCAGGTCAAACTTTATCATGCTTATCTCAGGCTAAATGTAAAGGATATTTGTAAAGTTTGAGTAAAGATTTACTCATTATACTCATTATGAATTATGTATGAGAAAAACTGTATGTTTCAAAACTGAAATTGTCCACTTAGTGAGAGATGACGGATTCCAAGAAAAAAATAGCAAGTTACACATTATATATGTAGCTTAGGAGTAAAGAAAAATAAGGTAATGTTTAGGTTGTAGTACAAGCCAGACATTATTAGAAATCAGAAATATGAGGCAAAACAAGAACAATGCATTATACACAAATAATTTCATATTTCTTTTCTTCTTCTATTCTTATATTTCTGTGGATTTAGTCAAAAGAAAACCAATCTATTGAGACCAATTAATTCTGGAAACTTTGACATTTTTCTTTAAAAGATACTCTTTTATCTAAGTTGGCAAGATTTTCTTTAACCAGAATTTAGATCTCCACTTCTCCATAAGATGGTTATTAGGGCCTCCTTGATGGTGCAGACACAACTTATGAAGCTATCCGCAGTCACTGCAGCACGAGTTCAATCCCCAGCCAGGGAGCTACCTACATGGCACAGCAGACCTCTCCTTATTCGCCTGCTGCTCCCTTCAGCAGTGTATTTCAGTCAATCTGCCTGTTCTTTTCCCTACTCAGTCTCTGCTGAATCCTCTCACCTTCCCCCCACACCTCTGGCCCGTACCCCAGTTCTTGTATGCATAAACAAATAAATCTTAAAAAAAGTTAAAAAAAAAAAGATGGTTATTAGTGAGATATTTGTGCTGTGGAAGTCTCTTATGATCAGCACACCTTGTAACAGAGGCATGCCTCTTTCACTTGAAGGTCTAGGTTCTAGTTACGAATAAAAGCAAGTAACAGAAACATGGTGTCTGTTTCCTATCTGCGCCACATATCCCACAGTAGAGGCCACGATCAAAGTAACACCAAGCCAAATTCAACAACCAGACCATCATCGCACTCTTTCTGATGTGCAAGACTGAGACACATCCATGCCCAAAGTAGGTGGCTATTTTGTGACTTTATCTGGTAAGATTTTTATGAAGCTCATGTCACATATTTCTAATATAAAAATGATTGGAAAAGAAGAGATAGGGCAGCGTATAGTATAATTGACTTTAGGCAATATAACTAATTTGCCTCAAAGGGAAAAGGGATAAAGACGTGGGGGACTAAAAGGGAATTTGTAAAGAGAAAAAAAGCAAAATAAATTAAGGGTGTCATTACCACTTTACCTCTTTAGGCAACTCAGTCAAAACACCTGCTGCTGTCTCTTTACTGATTAGGGTTCTCAGGACCAGGAACATAAAGCGGGGAATGCAAACTAGTACTAAAATCACATATTAGAAAGAAGAGACACTCTCAAACATACTTATTTATATTTATTTTCTCAAGTTTTTATAATTAATACGAATTACTATTTTAAGAAAAGTTTCTAAAAATCTTTAACCTTTCATACATGCAAATTTAAGTATACCATGTTAATAAATTTAAAGAGAATAAAATAAACTGCTATAGATAAATTATGAAAATATAGATATTTTAAATATTTAGATTTACAAAACAAATTTCTGGTAAAGTCCATACAATAATTGTTGGTTTTTAAAAAGAAAAGGATGTCTGAATATATCCTTTCTATTTCAGAACACCTTTGTACAAACTCATCATATTTTGTTAAATACATCTGACCACCCACTGAAAACATAGAAATAATTTTATTTTTGTAGGAATTCAGATTTTATAATTTCTACTACTAGATATTTTTATTTTTTTTCCAAGATTTATTTATTTATTTGTTTGTTTGTTTATACAAGCACCGGGTACAGTCAGAAGCGAGGGAGGGTGAGAGAATTCACCAGAGCCATAGCAGGGAACAGAACAGGCAGACTGATGAAATACACTGCTGAGGGAAGCAGCGGGTGCAGCAGGAGAGGTCTGTGTGCCATGTGGGACCCTCGCCTGGTGGCCAGGGATCAAACTGGCGCTGCAGAGGCTGTGGGCAGCTTCGCAGCCCAGTACTCTACTGCTGGGCCACCAGGGAAGGCCCTACTAGATATTTTTATTTATTTATTTATTTATTTATTTATTTATTTATTTATTTATTTATTTATCTATCTATCTATCTATCTATTTATTTATTTATTATTCTTATTTTTAAAAAAGATTTATTTATTTATTTATTTATTTATACAGGCACTGGGTACAGTCAGAAGCGCGAGAGGGTGAGAGAGTTCACCAGAGCCAGAGTGGGGAGCAGAACAGGCAGAAGGGCTGAAAACACTGCTGAGGGGAGCAGCGGGCGCGGCAGGAGAGGTCTGCGTGCCATGTGGGACTCTCGCTGGTGGCCGGGGATTGAACCGGCATTGCAGAAGCTGTGGGCAGCTTCGCAGCCCAGCGCTTAACTGCTGCGCCACCAGGGGAGGCCCCCTACTAGATATTTTTAAACAACATTACGTAATATAAAGAAAATCTTGCTTTGCTACTTTTCTAGAAGATATATATATAAAGTAAATGAAAAAAACTCCCTTCCTAGCAGCTCAGCTGTAGCACTTGCAAAGTTACAAGAGGCAGGCATCTCTTACATTCCTCTCTAACTAAAGTATAAAACTTACCAGGTTCTTTGGCTGTAGCTCCTTTTTCCTTTGGAACTTCAGTTATTTTTAATTGCATAAAGCATTTTCTTCCCAGGGACTTTTCTATAGCTGCTATCTAAAAAATTTTAAAAAAAGGGCGGGGGGGTGGGGCAGGACAGGGAAAAACTGTTGGATTAAATTAGAAAGCTGAAAGTAACTTGAGAAAGGTGTTATTATTTTCTAAATAGTCCACATAACAGACATATGACATTAATATTTTTCCTATGAATATTTTAAAAGAAACAATCTCTTACCTTATATTTGGACAAAAGAGGACTGTATTAAAAAAAAGAAAGAAAAGAGTTAAAAATCTAAAAGAGCAAGATGATTCCAAACAAATGTCACAGAAATGGCCATTAAAAAAAATGCAGCTTCTCTGGATTCTAATACGAGCACAGAACTTTTTCAATGCTGAAACATTATCACTGGTTCACATAGTTCAAAGTGCATTTATATCATGTGTTAATCTCTGTAAATAGCCAATAACTACTGAAAACTTCTAAAGAAGCTACAAATGTTGAGATGCTGACCAAGAAAAAAAAATGCTAATCTCTTGCTAATAGTGTATTACACATACTAACAGTGTATTAGTGATCACATACACACATTTTAAAATACCAGTTTATATCATTATGGTCTAAAATTTATGATGGGAGATAATTTTATTGACATTATGCATGGAAACATAGCCAAAAATGTAATTTTGAAATATTATATTTTAGAGATTACCCAAGATAATATCAATAGAATGCATATACCCATAAAAAGGCAGGCATAAAAATGTTCATTTAATCACAATATTTAAAAAACTGGAAAAAATCCTAATGTCTATTAAAAAGAATGGACAAATAAATTGCTACACAAAGAACCCACACAAAAATAAAGTATCATATTACCACTGCACATGTAACAGACACTATGGGCAAAATAAGGTAGATTCATTCTTTATGATTACATTTATATGAAAATATGGAACAGGCAGAGCACTCAGATAGTGGTGACCTCAGTTAGGGTGGGTCCTCACTTGGTATATGCATGAGAGAATTTTCTGAGGGGTTGGATTATTCTGTATCTTGGTCAGAGTGATAGTTACACGTATGGATACGTGTGTGTGTGTGTGTGTGTGTGTGTAAAGATTTCATTAGGCTTGTGTACTTTACTGTATGGACAACAAAAATATTTTTAAATATTAAAATTAAGAGTAATAATCTGGAGGAATCATTAAATTTAAAGCATAAAAATGCCAGGCTCATATTATATTCAGTAAATAATGTTTTAAATAACTATAAAAAGCTAACTATAAAAGTTAATTATAAAAGTTAGCTATAAAAAAGTTATTAGTTATATGGGAAAGGTAAGGAAGGTCTCTACAGTGAATACTCTGAAGAAAATGATCTTTATTTTAAAAGATTTCATAATTTAAAAACTCTGTTAAGTTGCAATTTAACCTACTTAACATGCTAAAAAATTAAGTTATATTTTGGAATCCCTTAAAACACTATTTCAAAGGTTCAAATTATCCATCACAAGAAGCAACTGTCATGAAAGTTAAATGAACATCACTTCTGAATTTAAAATCATTCCTAAAAGGTTGGTCTCTAAAATAATCAGATCAAAAAGGTATCCTCTAGCTCTTGCATGAGCTAAGCAACAATTACTTGGGTCTGTTTTACTATAAACAAATAGAGTTTTGAAGTTTACTCTTTGTGACTCTGAGGGAAAAGGAGAAAAAGTTATTAACAGAATGGCACCTTTCAGCCTCTGTATGGGGCACTCAAGTCTAGGTCACCAAGACCTTCTGAGTTAGCTTAATCATTATTATCCCTCTCCTTCACCTTCAGAATTTTGAGTCTTCAAATAATAATCAAAAATATGTATTTTAAGTGCTTTATTATTATTACAATTTAGTTTTTAAAATGTAACTTTTTGATATCAATTAAGCAATTGAAAATTATCTGGTAAATGTGGCTTTCCTTCTGTATTATTTTGGTTAAATATGTATTGTAGTTTCTTCCTGGTACAGGGTACAGGCTACTCTTAAGAATGTGTTTTTACTACATATACAAACATTGACAAACAGCTGTAATACAAAAATTTGAATATACAAGTTTGTCTGTCTGAATTGCCTAATCTTATAACCAGAGATCAAAATCAGAAGTTATATTTACAACTATTTGAAGCTATATAAAGTTGATCTTTTACTGTATTCAATATAAGAAACAAAATAAAAGCTGAGAAAAGAACCTAATTATTTATTATATGCATTTTCGTTTCTCCAGTTGAAAACACTGGCAAAATAGATTGTACGATTTAAATATTCAATGCTACAATGCTTCTTCATATTCTATTCCAATTCATTCTAACCAAATACTGATACACTTACTCTTGATGTGTTGTGCAAAATTTTGTAAGCTGCTCAAAATCTTCACCATTAAATCCTTTCTCTGAATTCCTTAGAGATGTAACTGTATGTGGCTGTACAGTTTTCCATTTTGTTTCTAAATTAAAAATATTTGTTAGGCACTGGCTATTTAAAAAAGACATTTAAAAGGAAAAAAATAGCTAACTGGTTCTATTGATAAAGATCAACATGCACAATTATCACACAGAGTTAGAAATTGCTAAGCAATTACTTTTCAATGTAAGTAAATATTATCCAGATACTAAATTAGCCAGTAAAGAATGCAAAGGGGTCAGAAGAATCGAGAATAGTTGCAAGTGTTCTTTTCTTGGCATTGCTATGAAGAACAAAATACAAAGAGAACTATTTTCTCATAATGACATAGATTTATGATGAAAATGCTATTTTCTTTGCAACAATTAATTTGACATAGAAACATCAATTTCCTGACTTAGAAAATGAGGTCAAATATTTTAACTTTCTAGATAGCAATTTGTATACATTACTGATAATTTCATATTCTGCTGGTCTGTACTTACCCCACTGTTCTTGAATGGCAGAGAGATTTGCAAGTAATTGCTCATGATACAATCGTTCAAGCTGAATGAATTTCATTGCTTTCTCGTCTGAATAAAAAATTTAAGGAAAACAGAAATCCAGTCTATTTTCTCTTACCACTTTATTTGAAGAATGTCCTGTATAGGCTGAGTAATTTGATGCTTACCAAAATATAAGAGCACTCTAAATAATTTTCTATATGGTAAGTAATGTTTCTTGGTTTTGAACCAGATACATTTTAATGTAGCATATTAGGCAGCAGCTACTTTGATTTCATTTTATAAGCAAACAACAGAAACTAAAAGAAGGTTTTAATGCTGAAGGAATGCCTCCTTACTAATGTATTTCTAGCAGTCAGTAAAATGTAATGTACTTGAAAATAGGATCCACATGGAGTCAGGGAATCGAAATGTTTCCTTTCTTCCTCTCTCTTAATAAAGAGTGTTGTCAAGTGTTTTGTTTTGATTTTTTTATTTCAACTCCCTTGATCCTGTACTTACTTCTCACTGTTTTTCTATCATAAGTCCAAATGTTTGCATAAATAAACAAGGACAGAGCAAAACATCATATGTATCTTTTGTAAAAATGTAATTAACATGTCAGAGATTTTCATAATTATCATGTGATACCCTTTTTATGTAGATTTTCTCAGAAACGTCTGCCTTCTCATCCGCATCACACATTTAGCATTTAGCATCGTATGGGGTCATGACAAACTGTCCAGCTGTCTACCTTCCTTTGGGCAATGTTCTAAATGTTGACCCAGAAAGAAGGAAGAGAAAAATTCATTGTTTAGCTTTTTGTGCTTGCCACTGTCACTCAGCAGTTGAGTTCTCTCTTACTTAAAGCCTTAAAATAGGCCCGGGAGAAACAGGGACAGTTCCATTTACTCCCCAACCCCCATGACTAAAAATTCACTAATGTTTCTCAAATTCTATTGAACTACAAAATTATCTGAAAAACTTGTTAAAATACAGATTCATGGGTCTGGTCACCAGAAACTCTGATCTGCATTTCTAATAGGCTTCTGGGGATGTTGATGGAGATCTGCTCTGCTCTACATCATACTCATTAATTGGTTAGAAAAAGAGGGCTAGCTCATTTTCACCAGAACTCGAGCTCTACATATTTAATAGGAAACTGCCACTGTCTGAAGTCGTTACCAGAGTTTGCTTAATAAGGTTCAAGATAGGAACTGTCTATCTGTCAAACTGCTGAGAGAAAGTCATGGTGAAAAGTGGTGAGAGTCAACCAGGTCCAAAGGAAAAAGAGACTACACAGATGAGGAAGAACAGATGCCGGTAATACTTCTTTCTAGAGAGTATATACTGGGTCATCCCTCAAAAAGAAAAACTTAATAAACGGGAAACCAAGAAACTGAAGGAAGAAAACTTTCCTATACAATAGTTAATATGTGGTTTCACTTGATTTTTATCCTGTTTATTACTAGTAAAGAATTCATTTTTTTTCCTTTGTAGGTATATAGCTATAAAAAGACAGTTGCAAGATTTACTATATGTGAAATACTTGACAGGCTCTACTATATAATTATTAACTATTTAATTCAAAAGAAAGAAGATCCATTGAATTTTTAAGTTGTATTTTGGTAAAACTGGACCTTATCCATGGAAGATTGAATTTGAATAGATTGATACACTACACTTATGGAAAGTGCAACTTAATTTTTTTAAGTGGGCAGTACTCTAAGAGTTCTATGAATTCCTTCCTGTAATTAAAAAAAGGATACAGTCTTCCTCCTGGAAATAGGACTCTGCTATCTGTTTTAAAAAAAAAAAAGGAAATTAAATTAACATTTCAATGAAGGGATACATTTAGAAGAAATCAAGACCTTGAAACTTTGAAAGCCTTTGACATTACACTAAGAAAAATCTTATTTAATTACATTTACCAGTTCAGAGGAAATCTGACTGTAGGTATAGTCTGAAACCACTCATTTCAAGCAAAACAAATGTCGACAAAGATCTTTGATTTTTATAAAATCTCATTCTTCCTATTCTATTTTAGTTAAAGTAAACTTGATTGATTCACTGGACTTTAGAATTCCAAAGAATGCAAAATAGAGAGGTTTAGAAGTGTATAACATGAGTGAATGAATCATTTTGTATGTTGTAAATTAAAAGGTTGAAATATATTACATCACATGATACTTTATTTTTTTTTTACTTTTTTCTTTTTTTTTCTTTTTCTTTTTATATTCCCCATACAATTGCACCCCCCCTTATTTTGACTCCAATCCCTCCTTTCCCCGCACCCCCCCATAGTGTGTCTCTAGTTTACAGTTGTTTGTTGATTTTGATTTTTTCTTTCTTATCGTTATTCTTTTTGGTCCCTAATTTAGGTTTTCTAGATTCCTGCTATGAGTACATAACATGAAACTTTAAAACCCCATCAATTTTACTTCTATTTCACAAACTACCTCATGAGACAGTGACTTCTGATTTGCTTTGATATTTTCAGAAAGGCCAGAGTGATGGCCTTCAGAAAAAGAGTTGAGTGATGGCATTTAGAATGTCTACAAAGTGCTGTGCAATGTATACGGCGCTGAATGAGGATCCAGGGACTCAAGATCTGCTTCCCGAGGCTTATTACTCAGATTCATTCTAAGGCCCTTTCAATTAAAAAAGTCTTTGATTATAATGACTTTGGGATCTTATAGATAGCATGTTGAATAAACAGGTAAAACTGAAAGCAGTCACTCAAAAATATTTGTGTAAACTGTGGTCTTACTTAAAATATTGCAGGTAAGTAGTTTACATTTTTAAAATGTTCCATTGATTTTTATCAAGTCTCTAATAAATAAAGGATGCTTTATTCATAGTTCACTCTATATTTTTCCAGATAGCTGCCAATACACAGAGCAATGAAGTACTTGTCAAACCTAGCAACCAAAGGAAAGGTTTTCCCAAATCCTGCAGTAGGTACTGTCAAAGGAAAGTTTTTTGCCTAGTTTAAAATTTATTCTATAGATCTACCATTTTTCCATAAGCAATATAAATATCTGGATATGAGCACCTCTTTTTAAGTATTTAGTTTAATCAAGAGTTTGACTCTATGGCCTCTCCGGTGGCGCAGCGGTTGAGCACTGGGCTGCAGAGCTGCCCGCAGCCTCTGCAGTGCCAGTTCCATCCCCGGCCTCCAGCGAGGGTCCCATATGGTGCGCAGACCTCTCCTGCCGTGCCCACTGCTCTCCTCAGCAGTATACTTCATCGGTCTGCCTGTTCTGCTCCCCGCTCTGGCTCTGGTGAATTCACTTAACCTCCTGCGCTTCTGACTGTACCCAGTGCTTGTATAAACAAATAAATAAATCTTTGGGGGAAAAAAAAAAGAGTTTGACTCTATACTTATTTTCTATTCTAAGGACTCTGCAAAGGATAAACTGACTTTCAATATTGTGCTTATCTTTCATAAGATCAATGTTCTAAAAGCATATTATAGTACTAGTTTGAATCAAATCAAATTGCCAATATACAAACCACTTTTTTTTTAAACCTCTAAAATGAGAATTTCAGATACTATGACAGCAAGTGTACTGATACATATTTAATAATCATCTCTGGAGTGCTGGGGAGAGCCCTGGTTTGTAGTGTGGTGTTTGCTTATCTGTGGTGTCAATACTTTGCTCTCATCACGGCCAATTCTAAGATACCAATGTGACGTAAGTCACCAAATACAGTTCTCATGAATTGGTACAAGCAGGGCCCAGCATATCACTGGTAACACATAATAGAAGTCAATGACAACATTTCATCTACAAACTTCCAGTACAGTCTATGGCATGGCATAGAGTTTCCCTAGTACATATGACATGAGATATAGTTTCAGGTTTTCCACTAAGGTTAAATCTCTGGCCCTTCAAAGCTACTCTCCTTTTGTTTTTGCATCTGTGCACCACTGACGCATAATTATTTTTAAATAGCTCTTATTTAAGAAGTTTTGATGGGATCCATACTTATTAGGAACCAGGATTTCTGACACTACAGACATATATAAATTTCAATTTGCATTAAGGTTTCTGTGGCAGTTCCTAAACCATAAATGCAACCATGAAGAAAGGGTCCTGAAACCTAATGCTTCAAAAGTAAAAGGCATTTCCAGGTGAAAGGTCAGTTTGAAAAATAAATAATAAGAATGTTTTCCTTATAAATATCTACCCCTGGCCAAGTCCAGCAGGGCAAAAGATGTGATTTTCTTTGCTGTCTCTATGTCTAAATTGGGGACAAAGCCTAACAGAGCAGAAAGAATATGGGGTTTGGCAGTGAATGATGTGTCTGCATTCTAACTCAACGTCTACTACTACTAGCTGTATGACCCTGGCTGTGTCATTTCCTATCTCAAGCCTTAGTTTCCTTATCTGTAAAACAACTACAATTCTTAGTTTCCTTATCTGTAAAAAAACTATAATTCTGTAAAACAACTACAATTCTGTGAGATAAGCTGTTTCCTTATCTGTAAAACAACTACAATTCAATTGAGAGAATGTGTATCTGGCACAGTGCCCTGCACATAGTAGTAACTACTTAAAATGGCTTTTGAGTCTGAGCCTGAACCAGAAGTGCAAGCTGCAGAATAGAATCAGGTGAAGAAGTAAGTTGGGCATTTGGGCTGTTTCCATAACTTAGCTATTGTAAATAGTGCTGCTATAAACATAGGGATGCAGGTGCCCTTTTGAATTAATGATTCTGTATCCTTTGGATAAATTCCTAGGAGTGGAATTGCTGGGTCATATGGAAGCTCCATCTTTAGAAAATCACTGTGAACAGCAGTTTTAAGGTTATTCTGATTTCAGGTTTTTTCTACCTGACAGGGACAACAACCATAACAACGGAATTAGGAAGGTGTATCCTTTGGCCATGGTCTCACATAGTTTCGAGGATCCTAGTGCAGCCATTTTCTGCCCAAGCAGGATAGTAAAACTATGTCTGAAACTTTACTTTCAGTAAAAACTCACTGAATAGATTGTAACACTTGATGTTTTTCTTCTTACTTGCATATGAAAAGCTTCCAAGTTTATGACTTCAGTTACTATTTTTCAGGGGTTCATTAAATTATATTTTGTTTATTTCTTTTATCTTCTCAAATTTTATTGATTTGCCAAATTTATATAATTTTAGGAGTACAATTTCACATCTCCATATGTGCACATGCTTTATCCACTCTCCATCGAAGCTCCCATGCCAGTGCCCTAGCCCCTTCCCTCTCTATCCCCTGGCCCCTCTGCCACAACTCCTGGTAATCACCATATTTTTCAGTTACACAACCAAAGCTAAACCATAATGAGATTAACTAAGTCAAGGTATCAAACGTTATCACACCCAAGAACAGGATCGTAAATGGAATTTTTTAAGCATCCTAAGAGTTAAAAATATAATGATATATCGAAAGTAATTATAGTCTTATTTTCAATGGTCTTTAGTACATATTCACCCATATAATATCACTTCAAAAATAATCATTGTCCCAAAATTAACTCTCCCTTTCTAATTCTTTATTTGTTAATGGTACTCCTACTTCTCCAAACTGGTTATCCTAACCTTACCTCTGACTTCTACTTAGGTTTCTTTTACCCAATTTTAAAAAACTTCTGTATAAAACATTAATGCTTATATTTTATATTTATTTTTCAGTTTCAGCAAAAAATGGGGATTGAGTCCTTTGCTTCTCCCTCTAGTTGAACCCTACAAAAGTAAGATTCCCTCTGTTGTTCTCTGGGCCACATTCACATGAATCTACAAGAAAGGTGATATTGTGGATATCAAGGGAATGGACAATGGTCAAAAAGGAGTCCCCCACAAATGTTACCAAGGCAAAACTGGACATCTATTATGTTACCAATTTGCATTTGGCATTGTTGTAAATGAATAAGTGAAGGGCAAGACTTTTGCCAAGAAAACTAATGCTCATATGGAGCATGTTAAGCACTCTGAGAGTCAAGATAGCTTCCTCAAATGTGTGAAAGAAAATGATCAGAAAAAAAGGAAGTCAAAGAGAAAGACACTTATATTTAACTGAAGTGCCAGTCAGTTCCATGATAGGTGTGGGGAAAAAAAAAGACCTCTGGACTATAAAAAATACATTTTTTTATCTGTTTATTCTTTTTATTTATTTTTATTTGATTTAGAGAAGGAAAAGAAAAAGAAAATGGAAATAGATGTGAGATTTTTCACTTTCACAGTTACCTTTTGGAGGATTTTCATGAACTAAAAGTGTACTTTACAGAAAGACGATCACACGATGATACAGAACGAGATCCCAAGGGCAAAGACTGAAGAATTTCAAGAGGGAGCATTAGAGATGGAAGAGCAGAAATGTGCTACAGAAAGCTTTTTCATTAGGAGAAAATATTAATGAGCTATAAAACAGAAAAAATAAAACAAACATGCTCACTCTAGGTGTCTGAATATTGCAAAGAAAATAAGCCAGCTAATGGAAAACAAAATACTTATAGATCAGGTTTCTTAATGCTGCTGTGAAAGAATTAATATCTGATGAATTTTTTTCCTGAACACAGTTAAATATGAAATCATCTATGAAGGTTCTACAAAACTTTTTTCCCTACTAAGCAATATGAAGGCAGGTGTTTATAGGAGGCTACCTACACATTCTTGAAGGTTAAAAGCCTCACTGTCATCAAATGAATTAATTTAAGCTTCTCCTATATGCTTAAAGAAATTCAACAGAACTTAGTACTGTGGGGTATAATAAATCCATAAACCTATAAAGCATAAATCTGATAACCAAATAAAAACTATTAAACAATCCAATTAACTTGATGAAAGTTTCATTACAAACATTGTAATGCAACAAGCTCCAGAAAATAAAGGTTCATTTTTTAACTCTTAAAAGAGCCCTCATCCAGAAAAGAAAGACCATTGAATGGAAGGAAGTCTGAGCTGCTGGAACTCAATCCCAATGAATTCATGGCATGATGTGAAAAAATAATAAAAGACCTCTGGACTATAAAAAATATATAATATAGAGTCCTCCCCTGGTGGTGGAGAGGTTGAGTGCTGGGCTGCAAAGCTGCCCGCAGCCTCTGCAGCACCGGTTCGATCCCCGGCCCCCAGCGAGGGTCCCACATGGTACACAGACCTCTCCTGTCGCACCCGCTGCTCCCCTCAGCAGTGTATTTCGTCAGTCTGCCTGTTCTGTTCCCCGTTCTGGCTCTGGTGAATTCTCTCACCCTCCCACGCTCTGACTGTACCCAGTGCTTGTATAAATAAAAAAATATATATATAATAAAAAAGTAAGCTGCATATTAAATAATTTTGTATCATATCTAATTTCATGGGGTTGATAATAGCATTATAGATTATACAGGAGAGTATCTGCCCTTGTTCTTAGGAAATATATGTTCAAGTATTTAGTGATGATATGAGGATCATGCCAGAAATTACTGTAAAATGTTTTCATAGAAAATATGTATGTAGTTGGGGAGAAAAAAATTGGTAATATGTCAACAGCTAGCAAATCCAGGTGAAACAAAAATTGGGAGGTGGTAGAAATTAGTGAAATGAATAAAATGTCATTTTATCTCTCCCTGAGTTGTGTCTCCTTGGTGGGGGGATAGCAGGATATTTTCTATTTTGGGGATGAGGAGGGCAGCTGTTAACTGCTATTGCCCTGATATTTTAATCTACTGTGAGCTTCAGTATCTCCTTGTTGATTCCTATTCTTCAGCTCTAATAAGAAATCTCTGAGGATATGTTTATGATATTTGATTTTTACTGTATATCAAGCACTGTTAAGTTCTTTCATATGCATTATTTCAATTGGTTTTATGCAACTTTAGAGAAGAAAAACCTGAAGGCCACTAAGTTTAAATGGTAGAGCCAAAGTCCATCCTTTTAAATTTCTACTGCACTCTAAGAAACTTTGCCAGAAATGAACAGATGGCTGAGATTTTTTAAGGAGTATAACCTATAGGACTCAGCAAACTGATAAGTTCCTTGGAGATAGGAGTGGAATGTTACTTGAGATATAAATAAATCAAATAATCATCAGGCCTAATCAAGATTGTTACCATTGACCTGTCCAGAAATGTGATTTTTGAATTTGGTCAAAGATGGCATCAGAGGAAGTACTTTGTTTTTTTTCCAGTGAAACAAATAAATATGAAAGTTAACTCACATCACTGAAGCCTGTAGATTCACTGGGTTGGGGTGAAACTGGAACACCTCTTGGAAAGTGGAGACCAGCAGAAAATGCACCAGAAAGGATATTTAAAAAATTCATGCTTCATTAAGCAAGTGGTGGGCAGAGAGAAACACCAGGAGATAGTGGTCCCCAGTGGGAGGCTACGTGAAAATCATGTCACCTGTTTGGTGGCCCTGGGGATGTGACAGCTCAGTGATGTGGAGGTGAACGCCACTGACTGAGGAAAACGATATGCAGAGGAGTTAGGGTGCTTTCTGCTGGATATGCTTCTACTCCCTACGGAAGGGAACAGGGACAATCAAACTATGGGCAGAAGGACTAAACAGGCACTTATCCAAAGAAGACACACATATGGTCAATAAGCGCATGGGAAAATGCTCATCATCACTTATTATCTAGAAAATGCAAATAAAAAACCACAATGAGATACAATAGGGCCCATATCAAGAAGACCAGAAACAACAAGTGTTGGTGAGGATGTGGAGAAAAAGGAACTGTTGGTAGAAAGCAGATTAGTACAGCCCTATGGAAAACAGTGTGACGTTTTATCAAAATATTAAAATTAGGCCTACCATATGACCCAGCAATTTCACTCCTGGGAGAATACAAAAACACTCTTATGCACTCTTATGTTCTCTGCAGCACCATTTACAATGTATTATTTAATATGCAGCCTATATTCAAATTTCTTCCAAGCTGTTCTAGAAACAGTTGGGTTGAATGGAATCATAAGGAACTTGCTTTGTGAGGGAATCTCAGATTCACCACATGTAACCAAATGATGGTAATACTTATCTCTGTAGGTTGCTTGTAGGGTGCAATAACAAGATGTCTGAATACCCTTTGCAAACTGAATCAACTGCACAAATGTAAGGAACTCTAAAAGATTAGAAAGCTGCCTTGGTGTTGATGTTTCTCAACTGTATTAGTAAGTTAGTAACTTTAGAGGTAAAAAACCAGTATACATTTTTCAAAGGCTTTCTTTAAATTCATTGAGAAGGTAATATTAGTTTGGAAAAATAAACATTTTCTTTCCTTGAAACTATTTCAATTTTTAAAAATTAAAAATTACTCACTGTTCATTGCAAAAGCTAAAATGAAAAACAGAAGTAAATGAAATAAAGAGTGAAACCTTTTCCACTCCCATATAATAATTACTTTCATTTTAAGGGAAAATGAAAGACAACACATAAATATCTTCATTTTTTTCTAAATTAGCTCTTGTATAAAAATGCTTCCTCATCTGGGCCTCCCTGGTGGTGCAAGGGGTTAAGATGCAACCTATGAAGCTGTCCGCAGCCTCAGCAGCACAAGTTCGATTCCCCCGGCCGGCCAGGGAAAAACCCACATGGCGCAGCGTACCTCTCCTGACTCTCCCACAGCTCCCCTCAGCAATGTACTTTGGTCAGTCTACCTGTTCTGTTCCTCACTCTGTCTCTGGTGAATCCTCTCACCCCCTATGCCTCTGGCCTGTACCCCAGCTCTTGTATGCATAAATGAATAAATCTTCAAAAAAAATGCTTCCTCATCACCATCCTAAAGGCTTCCTATTTTTTAGGTTCTCCATCTTCTAATTTATCATCATAAAAGTTCTTATTCTAAAATTCAAATTTGATTCTGGCACTCCCATAATTAAAAACTCCCAGTCCTTGAAAGTAAAGCTGTACTGTCACCAGCTATCCAATCTCAATTCCTGTCTCTTTCTATTTTAATCTTCAACATCTCAGACATGCCTTTGCACGGGCGGATCGCTTTTCTTGCACCAGCTCACTTTGCTCATCTAATGAGTGCCTACACATCCTGCAAAAAGTAGCCCAAGAGTCATCATGTTCTTTGTCTCTCCCTAATGCCTACAGAACACAATTAATCTTGCATTTTTGTGCTTCTGCTGAAACTGTGACACGTCCATTTCAAAACTTGTTAAGAATTCTACAATTATATGTCTTTCTCTTGTCTACTTGCTCTTGCTAGGACTTCCAGTATTATAGCGAAAAGCAGTGGTAAGATTGGACATCCTTGTCTTGTTCCAGATCATAAGGGAAAGGCTTGCAGCTTTTCACCACTGAGAATGATTGGCTATGGACTTGTTGTATATAGCCTTTATTATGTTTAGGTATGTTCCTTCTATCCCGATAATTTCGAGGACCTTTATCATTAACAAAAACAAAGTAAACAAACCAGTCAACAAATGGACAGAAGAGCTAAAGAAACACTTATCCAAAGAGGAAATGTATATGGCCAACAGGTATATGAAAAAATGTTCAACATCACTTGTTATCACGGAAATGCAAATCAAAATCACAATGAGGTACCACCTTACACCAATGAAAATGGCACATATTAAGAAAAGTAGCAATAACAAATATTAGTGAGGATCTGGAGAAAAAGGAACTCTCCTACACTGCTGGTGGGAATGCAAACTGGCCCAACAACTATGGAAAGCTGTGTGGAGGTTCCTCAAACTACTAAAAATGGAGCTTCCATATGATCCAGCAATTCCACTCCTAGGTATCTACCCAAAGGACTCAAAAACATTAATTCAAAAGAATACCTGCACCCCTATGTTTACTGCAGCACTATTTACAATACGTAAGCTATGGAAACAACCCGAATGCCCAAAACTAGATGACTGCATCAAGAAGATGTGGTACATCTACACAATGGAATAGTATGGCTGTTGTTAGCAGCAACGTGGATGGATCTAGAAGGGGCTATGCTCAGTGAAATAAGCTAGAAAGAAAAAGAAAAATATCGGATGGTTTCATGTATAGGAGGGATGTAGAGGAACCAAATTAGGGATCAGGAAGAAAAAAAAAGTGATGATAATAAATTAAAAATCAAAATTAACAGGCAACTATAAATCAGAGACATTCTGCTGGAGAGAAGGAGGGAGTTGGATCAAAGCAGGGGTGGGAAGAACACAAGGGACAATGGTGATGGTGCACGGGTTAAACGGTGGTGGGAATTTCGCAGAGACTACACCTGAGAGGAGAAAGCATACATTGTACAAAAATGAATACTGATGTAAAAAATATATAAAATTAAAAAAAAAAAGAATTCCACAATTAATTATCTATATGATCATGACTCCTATTGCACAGTGGCTCTCTTAGGGACATGCCCAGTTAAGTTTCAGGGACCTCGTTGATGCTCACCACATTAGTTGTACAGATCTTTTTCACTAAATAAGCGTGGCCACTAGTCACTCATATGTCAAATATCCCAGCAGTCACCGGTCCAGACTAGGTTTCTCACTCACCAATGACAGGTGTGGTAGAATCAATTACAGTGAACTGAATCTTAAATTATTAGAGACAATGGTAGTAGAAGTTTAGCGAGACTGAGAATGAAGTGGTTAACACTGTACCTGATGAAGACAAAGGGGGAGTGTTCTTGAATCCAATTGCTCAACTTCACCTCGTATGAGTGAGAACAGAGACTGCAGAACTAGCTTCGGGGCTTCTGGCTGATCATTTGCATTTATTTCAGCAGACTCTTCACTAATTGCATGTGTGGCTGCACTTAGTATATTTTCTTGCATTAAAGGCGTCGTATCTCCTGAAGAAAGCCCTTTAGGAAGTAAATAAGATGCCAATGTTAGGGTAAAAATTCCATCATGGTGAAACATCTTAAAACAATTATGTCTATTAATCATAACATTTTCAAGTGAAATCAATAATATAAAAAAAGCCCTGACACCAGTTATTGTCCCCATTTAGACTGTGCTGACATTTGATTGCTTCTATTAATATACATATAAACCATATTTTACAGAGTTATAATTCAGCATTAATAATAAAAGACTGAAAGATCTCTTAGGTTAGAACTTGACTAAATACTTGACTCTTCCAATGGAAAAATGTATTAACTATAATCTGAAGTCCAAAATAACACAGAAGTAAACAGGAAAAAAGTTGAGCCTTCCTCTTTAACCTCTGGTCTGATAACTTTAGAAAAGCATTTCAATCCCACAAGAGCAGCAGGAATTCAGATGCCAGAGCAAAGGGCCACAAAGACATTTTCTCCACTAAAAAGAAGTAATACAGACTTTTAAAAAAAAACATTGAAGAATAAATGCTTGTCCCACAGCTTCTGAACCAAATTCTTGTACCAAATAAAAAAATTAAAATGTACCAAATTAAAAAAAAAATAATTATGCATTGTAACGTCACCCTTCACTGAAATGTCATTTCTAATTTTCATACTTAAAGTGAATCAAAGCATCAGCAGGTACCTGTCTTCAGGCAGTCTGCTCCAGAAAGGGTCTTTCTCAGTAATTTAATATGTGTGCACCATGATTGAGAATGCTCTCTACAGACTTGAGCCATGTCTTCTACTACCTTCTAAATAAACCCACTAATCAATCTGACCAGACCAGTCAATTCTTTATTTCCCTAGTAAAGTACTCTCTGACTTTCTGAGCAATTACAGATTCTAACAGGAGGAATATTTGCCTTCCCTTAATGTTAACTTCTCTTCTACTCTAACAAAACCCATGTATTTCTCTATATAATGGGTCTGCCGTAAACTTACTTTCCTCTGAGCCCTGTATACAGCCCTCTATTATGCTGGGTTGCATTATAGTAATTGGTATGGCCTGGTTTCTATTATATTAGATCATAACTCTGGAAGCACAATAATTTATATGCCATGGTATCACAGTTGTATCCAGTAGTGTCTTTAGCACTAAAATTGCAAGTGCTGTGCTTTTAAAAAATAATCACTTACAGTGATTCCTTATATTTTAGAAAATTCTTTTCTATGAACTTTATGCCATTTGTTCTCTGGAAGTACAAAGCCGTGATGGCCTGCTGTTTTGCAGAGATAATATTTATGCAAAAATGGGTGATTCTTTTGCTTTCTATTTTTCTAGCCACATCAGTGGTGGTGCCAATGTGGGAACAGAAACTTTGCACAGAGAACTGCAAAGAAACTGAGAGAACTACTGTTTTATTTCCCTTCCCTGGTGCCACACTACTATGCCCAAGACATTTAAACTAAGGTAAGGACACCCCCTAATTATTTACTCCTGTTAATTAAATTGTTCTCACATAGTTATCAAAGAGAACAGTATGCTTCTTTGGGAAAAAAACATTTTCAGTAAAACCTTAAAAATATTACCAAAGAGGACAGGAATCTCAAAGGTAAGGAAAAAGGACAGGAATTATCACTCTTTTGTAAAGAAGGTGAAAAAAGGGTCTTAAATAAAGGGAATAGATATATGTAATTGGGATTATCTCAGTAATTTGGACAGTGTAGATTTACAATGGTTATGGTTCCTGTTAGATCCATTTTCCCTTTAAGTTATTTTAATAATTAATGTTACGGATGTGTACCATTTATAAACAATGCGCTGGCAAATGAAATTATGTGACTGAGCAAAGAAATCTATAAGAAAAGAAAAATATTAATCATAAAACATAACCAACAGAAATCCTAAAAGCCTGGAGAAATCCAAGACAGGCAATCGGAAAGACTATACCACTTTAATCACTAACTGAAAGGAGGAGGTGGACAATATGAACTAGGCTCAGATGGGTCATTCTATTCATAGCTGGGTTTAGAGGACAGGAAACCCAGCAAGATCCATACCATAAAAGGATTATCTCTTAGAGCTTGAAAACGATGACCTTCAAAGATGACTTAACTACAAAATCCCCTTACATCTTGAGATAACAGTCCTTGTTGAGACATTTGTAGAAAAAGGGCATTGGAACGGAGACTTCAGTTCTGTTACAATTTTTTGAAGTGGATTAGACATTTTATTCTCTGTGCTAGTTTCCTCATCTTTAAAAGGAAGGGATTGGTTAGATGAGATCTCAGAGCCCTCCCACATCTGACAATCTTAAAATGTCAAAATCTCCGTAGTGATTTCAGTATATAAGAAATACAGCCAAATCAGCCCTTTAAGTCCTAGTCTTCAGGCCAGTCACCATGGACTTGGGGTTCTGGCTTTCTCTAGGGGCAGGCTGGTCCCTGCAGACTCAACCTCTAGCATTCATGGCCGCAGGCTTGCCCAGTTGTAAGCCACCCTCCACTGCTCAGGTCCCAAACTGGACAAAACCCCAAACTCCCAGCTTACACCATAGCCAGGGTGGCCCTCATAGGATGAATCATCAGGTCCCAGAGGTACTTGACATCCATAAGGACCCAGAATCCATACTTGGTCACATGAACCCAGGTCTCAGTCATGTCATTGAGGAGTACCAGGCTTACCCCATGGACACTTAGCCTGCCCACTTGCCAACCTGGGCACCAGATGAGCCTTTCTGAGGACTTCAGCATCAAGTTTTCTATACATGTCTGACAGTTAAGCTTCTTTGATTGCTGGACATTAAGGTTTTGATTGCTAAGATCTTCTTCAAAGTCACTCACCTTGCATGAACACACCACCACTTACACAACTAGATAGAGTCGGGCTGTCCACCCATGAGTTCCCCAATTTTAAAGCGTTTTCTTAGGTAACTGACCATTTGCTTTTCCCCTGCCCACCTTTTAATTCCTGTTCTTATGTTTTAAATTCACCAATAAAAAAACCCCAAGAAACCCTAAGTACCCCATCACTGACCCCAATAAAAGCAGAATCCCAGGGTGTGCCCCCAGGTATACCATATATGTGTGTGCTTTTTTTTAAAACAAAGTTCCCTAATCTTAGAATCAAATTACAAATCACAAAAGCAGGCCACAATATAAAAAGAAGCACAAGGACTAGTCACAACATTGGATCCATGGGGGCTCAGGTAAGTGCCCCAAAGACATTTCTAGTGAATAGTCATGTCAATAGACTGAGACTGGCACAAAACACTTAGCACAGAAGCCACCAGATGGTTCACTGAGAATCTCTGGACAGGCTGACTGGTAAAGGGCCTTCCTTGTTGAAGCCAATCTGTAAAGAGTGAAAGAGACACCTACTTTTTCAAAAGCATAGACACCAATGCAAGGCACAAGGATCACAAATAACTGAGGAAACATGAGATCACCAAGGAGTAGGTTTCTGTTTCCAGTGGGAAATAACTTTATCATGCTTTATATAAACATATGAACTGTTCCACATATTATTAAATGAGGATATACTTTACCTTAAGCACAAATACAATTCAGTAGGAAAACAACACGTGACCATATTCTAGCTACATGGATTTTTTTTTAATTGTTTGCTTTTATTTTTTTATTTATTTTTTATTTTATTTTTATATTCCCCATACAATTACAGCCCCCTTATTTGACCCCCAAAATATCCCTGCCCCCCACCCCCCATTACAGTGTCTCTGGTTCCATAGTTGTTTGTTGATTTTGATATTTTCTTTCTTAGAGTTATTCTTTTTCCTAGCCCCTTATTTAAGTTTTCTAGATTCCTGCTATGAGTGAGACTATCCGGTATTTTTCTTTTTCTTTCTGGCTTATTTCACTGAGCATGATCCCTTCCAGCTCCATCCATGTTGCTGTAAATTGCATGAGTTTATCTTTTTGAATGCTGAGTAATATTCCATGGTGTATGTGTACCACATCTTCTTGATCCAGTCATCTATTTTTGGGCATTTGGGTTGTTTCCAAAGCTTAGCTATTGTAAATAGTGCTGCTATAAACATAGGGGTGAAGGTGCTCTTTGGAATTGATGTTTCTGTGTCCTTTGGGTAAATACCTAGGAGTGGAATTGCTGGATCATACGGAAGCTCTATGTTTAATAGGTCAAGAAATCTCCACACAGCTCTCCATAAACTACTCAAAATGTTACTACTTATTTCAAAGTAAAAGCCTAAAGAACTCATGAGAAAACTATCTACTGCCAGAGATGGAAGACTAGTGACACAGATCAGGGCAGCCCTGAGATGCAGCCTGCTGTCCCTGTGGATGTTACTTAATTTCGTGATCCCCGAATTTCCTCATTGGTAACATGGGAGTTATACCACCTCGATTATAAAATTTTCATGAAAATAAGTGAGGCAGTGTGTGCAAAAGGCAAGTATCCTCTCAAACCTGAGCTTGAAAGTAGGTTTTACCACCACTTGAATGAAAAAGGTCACAAGAATCATAAAGCACTTTTTTTAAGTGTTTTTTTTTTAAAGATTTATTTTATTTATGCATACAAGAATGAGATACAGGCCAGAGATGCGGGGGATGAGAGAAGTCACCAAAGACATTGTGGGGAACAGAAAAGGCAGATCAATGGAAATACACTGCTGAGGGGAGCAGTGGGCAAAACAGGAGAGGTCTGCTGTGCCATGTGGGTAGCTCCCTGATAGGCCAGGAATCGAACTCGTATTGCAGTACTGTGTAGCTTCACAGTGCTGTGCTTAATTAACCCCTTGTGCCCCCAGGGAGGCCCCATAAAGCACTTCTTTTCAATTTGAAGAAAAACATTCAGAGGAAAGGGTAAAGCCAATAAAGTTTATCTTCCTACTATGATGGAGAGTAAAGGAATTGTAGAGACTATGTTGGAAAACTATTAATAAATAGGTTTTTAATTATTCAGCAATACTGAGGTTTTGAACATGATTGAACTGACTTTTTTTTTTTTAATAGAGGCATGTTTTATTTATTTATTTGTTTGTTTTGTTTATACATGCACT